ACCTCACCTGCCCCTTCCCTTCCTCCCAGGCCCCTGAGGTTATGACGTAGTGAAATAAGACCCAATAAACAGACCGTACATTCTTGCCATGTCCATGATGTGTTGCATCTCAGGGAGACACAGCCCTGAAGCAGTGAGCAATGGGATGGCTGGGCTGGGAACACCTACCAGCTCTGCCCCTCCTTCAGCAGTGACAAACCAGGCAGCACCACACTGAGCTTGGGGACCTCCAGCCACTACAGGATGAAGAGGCAAGGCCTAATTCATGCTCTGATTTGCTAAGTTCTCAGCTGAACAAGGAGTGCAAATATCTTGCGCCAGCCAAAGGCAGTAGGGTGACTACACCTTCCCTTTTGCCTCTCCTCCTCTTAGTCTCCATGTGTTCAAAGGAAAAGTTGTTTCCCCTCCAAGACACATAGGGGATTGCATGCAGGCATTGGGAGGGTACTCCCGGACCCAGACTCCTCTCCATGGGGACTGCCCCTGCAGGTTGCTGGGGACATCCTTTCACCAAAACATTGCTGCATTAATCCTCCTGAACTCACATCGTAGAGATTCATATCAGTACCAGCACTCACTCACACTGCCAGGCACAGGCAGAGTGAGAACAGGGAGGAGGAGGGAAAGGAAAAAAATTAAAGAGGGAGGAATGAGTCACCAGTCCAGACAAATTGCCTCCAAGACACTAAAATTAAGCTGAAGATATTGGTCCCAGCGGTACTGTGGATCTGGCATCTGTGAGCATCTGCCTTTCTGATGCATTGCAGGGACTTAAGCCTAAGTGTTACAAGGTGCCACTGCTTGCAGGCTCAGGTGCAATGATTTGCACTGCAAAATCCTGCAGTCCTGGGAGGGCATGGAGAAACCATAGAGTTGAGACAGCTTATCTGTCCCGGATGCAGCAACACTTCTGAGCTTCAAAAGCTGCTTCCTGCACTGAGGAGGTGCATGGGTAGTGCCAGGTAAAACCTGCCACAGTGAAGCTCCTAAGGTACCCTGCTGCCAGGGGAATTTCTGCAATTTCAGTTCATGGTCAGATCTGAGTAAGATAGTGAATTCAGTGATGTGACGCATTACCTACTGATGAAATACAAAGGGACCATGGAGGACATCTGTGGCACTGAGTTCCACGAATATGTGCATTGCACATGGGCTGCCAGATGAATTGCCCAATCTCCATTCAAAGGTAATGTAAGTTATGTTATCATAAGTTCAGAAGTGCAGAAATGAAATCTCTGGTACAGGCATATACCTGTGGAAAGGCAGAGGACACAAAGCCCTTGAGAGTGGGATCTAGCCTCCTTTAACATTCTGAGCATTGCTCAAACCAATGTATTCCCAGTGGTTTATTATTTCCTCTCCAGTTTTCAAGCCTCGGCTTTTACTTCTGTCTGCCTCATTCTTTATCATGTATAGCAGTGCAGAGAGGAGAGACTCACCATGTGCATGAACCAAAATTCATGTACCTACCTAGCTGTTGAGGCGCACAGGCTGAGTAGTACAACCCCATTGGAGGTGAGGCAGAGAATGGAGCAGGACTTGGGGCATGGGGGAAATGATCTGGAGACCTGGAAGTTGTGATCCTATGACTTGTGCTTATGCTGTAAAGTCCTGCAAGGGTTAGCAGGCCTGGGTAGAGCTCTGCCATTGAATGTCTGTTTCTTCTAAGACAGAAGCTTGGGGACTTCTGCATGGGGCTACAAATAACTGTCCTGCTGTGGCAAAGAAAACTCCTGGGTGCTACTCATGCTATTCCTTCCCCAGTGAGGCCTCATCTCTTGTGTATGTCTCTTATTACCCAGTTCTAGGCTAAGACGGCCTGAGCTTTGAATCCCTGTGCTGCCTTCATCGGCGCACCTTTGAGCAGCACTGGCTGAGCATAAAGTTGCTCAAGCAGGTTTGGAAGGCCAGATTTTAGACCCTGGCTGTGTTCTGCTCGCAGAGATACTGTCTTCTGTTAAGACTGGAATTGGCCCTAGAGACTCAAATACTCACAGCATCAGGGCCAAATGTCAAGAACTGGGTGACTGCACAGCACAAGGAGTCACTGCAGGGCAAGGTAGGGGTAAGTATGACAGGGAAGCACTTTGTGCAGGGAATGGGTTTGGAAAATCCTCATGTCCTTCCTAGAGAACCTCTCACACAAAGATTTGTTTCTTTCCCAGACCCATTTCTTCTGGGTCTATGCCTTCCAGCAGAGGTGAAATCTGGTAGGAGAGTTTGGGGCTGTTGGACTGGAACATTTTCCCGTAGAAGGTGCAAAAGACAAG